AAATTAGGTGGTATAAACTTTGTGTTTTTGAAAAACCATCTATCATAGAATGTTCCTTTCTGTTGTATACTCGAAGGTGTTCGTGAAAATCTTTCAGTGATTTATACACCCTTAAAAAAACAACAGATATATACAGTCATGTTCCGATCATTAGACCCACTTCGATTTGATTCATTCAAATCATGTAAACTTAAGCTACTTTTAAGGCCTTAAGTCTGAAAATATGGAGCAAAAGAGTACGCCATTTCTGTGGCCTTAACAACCGGAACTTTACTTTATTTAATATTATTCAAACATCAATTATTACATGCAATAACCGATAACTATAATTCTTTAACAATTTAAAAAATACCATTTTCGATTTTGATGCGTTTGAATTATTGATTAGAACAAGATAAATGTATTAATAATTCCAAAGCTCCTAATAAACGCACTTATGCTTAAAACCAAAATATATCACCGAAAACCAAAAGTGGGGCACTGCATGTACACTGCTACAACAGCCGACATGCAAAAACTGATCTGGAGGCTAAACGCTTTATATTGGCCAATTTCTTAGAATGGGAACTTTTATCTTAAAACTAAATAAGATTATCAAATTTTCGTACTTTCATTTCCGCCCCAGGCTTTGGCCAAAATTTGTGGCAACTGATCCACTTTTCCAACAACTTCGTCAATATCATTCATATCGGAACCACGTGGGACTTGATGTCAATAATGTTTGTATCATTAACGCTGGCCATTCCCATGGTCGATACAAAACCATAATGTTAACATCAGTCACATGATTTGTGTCCAAATACTGGAAAACGCTTGAAATCAGCTCGTCCGTATCTTTAACCGCTTGTTTTAGCTGTGGGGAACCAGGTCCAAACGAATGCCCAATTGCGTCAACATCAGCGTGTAATATATCTTGAAACAAATGCAGAGTAAAATCAATACTGTAATTTTTTTCACGTCATATAAAATGTAATCAATAATCTTTCAGCGTAAGAACCACGTTATGTTCCAATAGAAAGCATTATGGACTCCAATGTTATCAATTAAGCCTAATTTCAAATTACATAACCCTCTTTGCTCTGACCAGCCACCCAACATGTCTTTAGAGACAGGTGGCGCTAATATTAAATGTGGTCTGAGAAAAAAAAACAGCGTTCATCAGACGTTTTCAAGTAAATTCTGTCAGCTTTCGGTGACTTGATCTACATAATGTATATTTAACCAAAATGCATTTGATTTTCCAGCTGTATTTATTTTATGTCCACATAAACACATTATTTAAAGTGGCTTTAATAGTAAAAGCAAAAAGAATAAAAACTGTGACTCATACAAAGAGCAAGTTGTTGTTTATGCGGATGAATATTAACAAACTTACATGCGATATCAATTTTTCCACTGTGGATACGACGGACTGCATCTAGAACTGCATTCTGGGAATCTTTGAAAGAACTAGAATCTTGATACGGTGAGCAATACGACACGTTAACACCGTCAAACTCTAAATAACAACCACCCATATTGTACAGGCCAGTCCGTATGCCCTGAAAGTATACCAATAATAACTATTTAGTGTACCATTCAATCAAGATACAAGTAAAATGGTTTCCTGCGGTGAACATTTTTAATGATATAAAGATATTCCATTTAACATATATTTGGGGGGGGGGGTAAATAAACTTTTTTGTATCAGAAATATAGTTGACAATAATCGATCAATATAGAAGAAGGTCTCTGGAAACAGGTGACCGTTCAAGACCGGTGAAGGTCGAACATAGAACAATTATTCTTTTTACGCGAAAATGATTAAATAGGCAAAAACTAAATAAAGTAAAACACACAAGTTTACGCAGAAAAATATCTCTATTTATTATGACAGATGCCCACTACGAATATATTAATTTTGTAGATTTTCAGTTTATAGAATTTATTGTTTGTAAAATTTTAGATAGATATAAAAGAAACAATTGATAATTTTTCAAAAACACATCATTCAAGTTTTTCCACCTTAAACGGTAAAAAATAACTTTAGAAAATAAGAAAAAAATCACGTAATAGTTTTTGGTTATCAATTAGGTATAATTCGGATTATTCCCTACAGATAAATCCGTAACGTAGCCCGGCAAACGGTATTTTAGCTGAGTTTTTCGAAAAAGGTCAATTAACCAATCATATACGGTTTACAGATCACATGCTCCTCCATGTACCGAAAACAGGTCACCCGTGCTCCTTCAATGCCTCAAAAGTTAAACGCGTACAAATACCTGCGGTCTCCAGACCGCAGGGAATAAAATATATACAGTAAAAACCGCAAAAAGGTCAATCAATTACGTCGCTTAAAGCATGACGTGGAACCCCAGGAAAACCAATGGAAAATAATTCAAAGTCTCTTAGAAATGGAATCCCAATGTAATGAGAAGAAAGTCAGTTGAAGTCAATTTTTTGGAAAAAAATTTCAGAAGTGAAAAAAGGAAAATGTGTACATGTCGTTAAGCAATTGGCGTATTTTCTGTAGTCAATGGTTAACTACATAATTGAAAAAATCGATTATTTGTCAAATCCATTTTGCATCGTAAGTATTTCATTTGAAGCAATAAGAACAGATAACGATATTTGTCCATTTAACTGATCATTTTTAGCAGTTACATAGAGCAACTGTTTCTCTGTCCATTATTTACAGTTATCTGTTTTTTTCAACAGTTGCTGAAAATGACTTTATCAGATTCCCTGCTTTTCAACAGTGACATGTAACACGTGGTTTGCTGTATGTAGCGTTTTTTCAGCAGTTACAATGTTCAGTTATTTTCTTTTGACAGTACCTGTTTTTTCAGCAGTGACAAAGAATGAGGGTTTCTCTGTCCACCATTTTGCATCATCGCTGAGCATATATTCTAGTTTATCCCCATGTTTACTATCATAAATGAAATTTCCAACAACGCCAATGACTTTCGACATACAGACTGGAAAAAAATTGCAAGCATACATATATTCATCAATTTTTTACTTTTTTACACGTAATTAAAAATTTGGTAAAAGTGTAAAGTTGAAAATACGATTTGATTCTCAATTTTTATCTGCGTATGTCTGCTTTAAACAGCTTTTTTTTAAGAAAATGCAACGGTATTGTAAAAAAAAACATCCGATATAGCGTACAAAGATTCATAATCCATAAACGTCCACTATATCAGTGTTTTACTGTACTGTATACTCGTACATTTAAGTCAAATGCTGTTTGAAATGCTGTTTGAAATGCGTATATTCACACTTATTCAACCATGTATACATGTAATGTAGTTATAAGTTATAGTTTCCGGAAGAGACCTCCTATATGTGTATAATATTATATGTATCAAAAATCGTCTGCTTGAGTAATTTGTTACGATTCCAAAAAAAAATAAGAAATTTTAGACTTTTAACACAAGTACATTTTATACCAAAAAAATCGTGAAATAACGCCTTATATCAAGACATAATACATTTTCGCATTTTGACATCTTATATGTTTTTATAAATGCGCAAGCATGTACAAAGTCAGTAGTACATGAACCGGGTACTTAATTAACTTAATGATATTCTTTTTGTGTAAATTTTATGTTTCGCTTCGCTTTACACGATAAACACCTAGAATAGATGTTCATGCATGCATGCATGCTGAAAAAAAAACAGTCTAAACTGCAGGCATATGCAAAGATGCTGAATATCCTGATATCGGATTTGTTAACACGAGTTTCCAGTGGAAATATGTGCATTTGTAATTTATGCATTCGTATTAATGGAGAAAGAGAATGTTCTTGAGGGTCTCTTAAAACTGTTAAGTATATAAATGATTTATTAAGTTCGAACCCTTCACCTGTTTCTAGCGATTTATAGTTGGGTAGAGAATTGGTCGGGAAAGCTGGTACCATCCATTCAGCCCTGGCTCCTTTGTCGACTAACCTAGAAAATCCTCTCAGTTGTAAATCATGATAAGATTCTATATAATCCCAACGGAATCCGTCTACAAGCAGAATGATTAACTTGGATGCATTAACAAACGTAAGTTTGTAATCCAATCCGATAATAAAACTAAACAAGAAAGTCACTCTACACAACATGATTGTCAATATCCGATAAACATGCATACAATATATATACATGTATTTAGTTATAATACATTGTAGAATTCAATCAGACGAGTACACAGCTTTAAAAATGTACTAGTATTTGATTTGACGGAGTATGAAAGAAATTGCACTACCCTCAAAATCAATATTAAACAAATCTCAATCAAATCAGCTTTTCGATTATTGTTCTGATCATATATGCACTTCTGTTAACTTATAAATTAAGTTCCTGACAAATTTATCCGAATAACGATTTTTAACGTGTAAGAAGTAAGAAGTGAAAAAAAAAACTGCGGGAATTTAAAAAAACGAACTTTACGTTAAAAATTGTTGCCTTAATTCGGATATAAATTTGACAGCTACATATTAGTAAAAGGGGTATTTGTCCCGAAACCAAGTGCCTATGGTTCCAGTTGCCTACTTATAGTAAATGTATTAAGTTCTGTCTTCCTCTGTAGCGTCAATATATGGATATTATACTAACACGAAACAAGTTTATTCAAGTTCCTGATTTCAATGACATTTAATTTATCATACATTTAAAAACGCATGTTGAAGTGATCTACTACTTCATTTTTACTATCGGAAGAACCTTATAGTTTCCTTATTTTCTTCATAATCATACACAGTATAATTATAATATACATTCATTCAATATATAAAATGTTGAAATGGATTAGAACGAAATATATGAATCTTATAAAGTTCTTCTCCTATCGGAAGAACCTTACTATGGTGGCTGATTTACGTCATGTCGTATATATTTTCTCTTCTTCGCCTCAAAATGCGAAAATGCGAAAACACGAAGGGACGACAAAATTGGACTTTTGTCATCTCTTCGTGTTTTCGCTTTTTCGCATTGCGAAAATACGACAGAAAGAGGGCGAAAATACGACACATAAAATTTGTCGTATATTCGCATTCCATCTGTCGTATTTTCGCGTTCAAGATACAAAAATGCGGAAACACAAAGAGACGACAAAATACAACTTTCGCATTTTCGCATAGTTACATTTTCTCATTGTTGCAATTGCACTTTTTCGCATTGTTACATTTTCGCATTGTTACATTTTCGCGTTCCGGTTGTACATGCGCATTATTATTATTATGAGTAGTAGTAGTAGTAGTAGTAGTAGTGGTAGTGGTAGTAGTGGTGGTGGTGGTGGTGGTGGTGTAGTAGTAGTAGTAGTAGTAGTAGTAGTAGTAGTAGTAGTAGTAGTGGTAGTAGTGGTAGTAGTGGTAGTAGTGGTGGTAGTGGTGGTGGTGGTGGTGGTGGTGGTGGTGGTAGTAGTAGGTAGTAGTAGGTAGTAGTAGTAGTAGTAGTAGTAGTAGTAGTAGTAGTAGTATTATTATTATTAAGTTTTGTAAATGTCTGATCACAATGATATATTATTTGATAGTCCTATATTCACGTAGATGTATAAGTTAAAAGTATTACCCCGCTCCTTACACATGCCAAATAACCATATAATATAACGGTAAGCTAAGGCTTTCAGACTGTTTTGAATTAGACGGGTTTGATTTTCAGAAAAGACCCTCGTATATAACAGCATTTTTAGAACAAGCAGGTAGTCAACTCTTTTTACATAATTCAGGTACGCTGAATCCATTTTTGCTCTACCACGGGCCGTACTAGAAGTCCTTGACCTTCAAAGGGTCAAATAAAAATGGCCGCCATTGAGCTTTACTAATTACTTCATAATTTCCTATTTCTGGTTCTTAGCGAAATGTATTTCCGTAAAACCACACGCAATAAAGTTTCAGTCTTCTATGAATGACTGGCTGATAATTAAACATGATTTACTTATTGAGTACAATTGTGGCCATCTTTGATTTCAAGATGGATACCTTTTTCTAAACAAATATAAGTTAAGTGCTTTCAAAGATCATGTATGTTGTAGTTGAGGTTGTTACCATGTGTGTGTATTTGAGTTTATTTATACTCGCCACCGGTTGCCCATATGGGCGAGTCCTCCAGATGAGTATTAGTCAGTTTAGATATTTGGAGGATAGTGCAAGATACAAATACAGAAAAAAGCCCCAGTTCCAGAAGCTTCTCCGTTCTTTAACGTGCCAAGTGATAAGCACACATACACGGGACCGCGATTTAAAGTCTCATCCGAAAGACTGATTAGTAATTTAGGTTGGCCAGCCCGGGAATCGAATCCACAATGTCGTGATTTGAAGTCTCGCGCTCTAACCGATTAAGCTATGCGGGTTGTTACCACACTTAAGTAAAATTTTGTATATGTATATGATTATGCTTATAAAACAATTTTCAAACATCGAATTATATGTAAAATATGTACTGCAATATTTGTGCACATTTTAAATATAATGTAATCATTAAAATATATGCATTCATTTCTTCTTAGACTTTATAGAAAAAATAAATTTGAAATGTTAAATTCAGTAATATCTTTATAGATAATGCTTTTTTGGAACTTACAATATTAATAAATCTTATATAATTTGAGCATCATAGTTATGATATAAAACCATAAAAATTTGTGTTACAGGATCTTTAAACAAAAGGCTGTTTATCAAAAATAAGATAATGATGATATAAGTATTATGTAATGTAGAATTGTACATATTTTGTAGGTATACTGAATTTCATCATGCCCTCAAACTATTTCAGGTCATTCTTTATGGGCAATTAATCTATGTCAGATATCTGAGATGCCAAATGTCTAACAAAATCTGAACAATCTAATTTACCATTAGATGTTTTAGTCTTTGATGTTGATAGAATAGCATGTATGTAAACTTTTATGGACACTTAATCATTTTATGATATTAATGTCAAAAGTCAAGCTCAGAATCTATTTTTTTAAATTGCCTTTCATCTTCATAGGCCAGAGACTATGTCTGTGTCAACAACACTGAAAAATACGGTTCAAAATAGAAAAAAAAAACAGAATGCCCAAAACGGCAAAATTAAAAATGTTGCAGGCATTCAACATTTAAACATGGAAATTATGACATTTGGAATTTAAAACCATCCACAAATGTGTTTATACATACTTTTTGTTAACCTAAGCCAACAGTAAAACATAATTTCGGTTTTTGGTTACCTTTTATATATGTATTATTTTTGTTTATAAAATGTCGTATTTATTTCAGTGAATAACTAAAAAATAAATTTTTTCCTTGATGGGTTTTAAAAACAGAAAAATTTACTTAGAAATGCAGTAAACTTAAAAAATGCAAAAAGTCATTTAAGGCTTTTTATCTTTCACTTTGGGAAAAAAAGACTCGTAAAACCCGGTTTTTTTGTTAACCTTAACAGCCAAATGGACTTTTTTTAAAGCGTTTACGTCTTATTTTTTGGGAAACAAGGAAAAAAAGGGCTGCATAAAAGGAAAAAAAAAGGACTTTTTGACATAAAAATTTAAAATTTTTGGTTTTAAACTTTTCGGGGATTTTTGGGTCCAATAATTTTATTGACTTGCCTTTAACCCAAAATCTTTAAAATTAGCCCCACCTAATTGACAACTTTTCCTGCTTTTTTAAAATTGTTACTAAAAAATTAAAAAAAAGTTGGACTATTTTTTGGAAAGCAATTTTGTGTAGAAGTGTTTTTTTTTTCATTTCTTTTTAACTTTGTTTTGTTAACCATAAGGGGTGGAAATAAAAAAAGGGTCAACGAAAAAAATTTTTGGTTATAAATCTTTAAAGTTTTTACTTTCTTATTAAAATTTAAAAAAGAAGAAAAAAAACCCAGGGAAAAACTACCCTTTTTTGGGTTGGGGTTTTAAAAGTCACCTTTTTAAACGTCGCCCCAAAAACAAAAGAAAAGGTCACTTTGACAAACTTCCGGGTTTTAATTTGGGGCAAAAACCTTTCATTTCCCTGTCCCAATCTGTGCATTTTTTTAAATAAATCGGCATCTCGGGTAAAACCCAAAACGACTTTCGATGGTTTAGATTTTTTCTCAAATGAAAGAAATCCAATTTCCCTGGCGAAAAATTTAAATTTCATTATTTAAAGGGCGATGGGAGAAAATTTTGGTTTTGAACTTCTTGAAGTCAAAGACAATAACCACTCGGGTCATGGATTGCCCCTAGTATTCAATATAATAGTACTTAGTTACTATATTTCGTAACATTATTGGAAAAAGCGATAACAAATATAAATTTTAATGCGAACCATTAATAAGAAAAATTAAACTAAGAAAAGTTACTGATTAAAAACTATCTCCTTACAAAAATATAAATATGAGCCGCGTCATGAACATAACAAACATAATGGGTTGTGACCAGCATGGATCCAGACCAGCCTGCGCATCCGCGCAAGTCTTGATCAGGATCTATGCTGTTCGCTTACAAAAGTCTATAACAAGCAGGGAACCTGATGAAGGCGAACAGCCATGGATTCTGAATCAAGAACTGAGGCGGATGCGGCAGACTGGTCTAGATCCATGCTGGTCGGCAAAATCCATTATGTTGGTTTTGTTCGTGGACGCGGCTCAATTATATATGTTCTTTAAGAACCATTAACACTGTCAAAATTGTTGAATTTAACAAAGTTAAAGACCAAAGGGTTTTGGCAGTTGATTAAAAAAGATTTATTTTTACCAGGGTTTTCCAGAATTATGAAAATTTAAAATAAAACATGGTATTCCAAAATAATACAAATTAAAGTTTATAAGATAAAACGTTGTTTTTGCTTACTCCGGTGAATGCAAAAATTTAAGTTTAAAATAATGAATTTAAACGTGAAGTTTTGGCCCTTATAAAAATACAATGGAGCTAAATATTATTGTTTTATATATCTGTGAAAAATGCTGTTTTATTACACAAAATAAAATAAAGGCAAAGTTGGGACAAACTAAAGAATCACGTGCGTTTACGGTTGTTGCACGTGGGAAGTGTTATCAAAAGGAAGGATTATTCCCTCTCCTAATGACCTGATAATTGGATTAATCTGATAACTATCAGTAAAATAACCTTTCGATTATATATATTTTAAAAAAAATCTGGACGTTT